TATAAACTATATAAAATAATTTTATAATTTTTAAATCTTTTATTAATAACATTTTAAAGATTATTGTTAATCTCTTTAATAATAAAGCTAATATATAAAGATTTTTATTATCGATTTTAAAAATGTATTGTATTAAATTGTACAGTATATGGATTATAACAATGCATAAAAATTAATATTATAAATTAACATTGAATTTAATAACATATACTATTTTATATTATAAGTATTAATAAATAAAAATTGAAAAAAGTAATAAATAATTTATTACTTTAAGCATTAAATAATAGTTAATTAAATAACAAAATTATTTTTTAATACTATATATTAATTTTCATATAGGTATAAAATAATAAATTTGGAATATATTTTTAAAATTTTATAAAGGGTTGATAATAAGTTACAAAATAACACAAAAATAATAAGATTTTGAGAAAGTTTCTCAAATAATTTTTAAATAAAAATATTGCGAATTATACACAAAACTTTATAATAGAATATTATTAAAATGAAATATGATATCTATTGATACAAATTTGCTAAAAATGTCAATTGTCAAAAAATATGCATTAAATATTAATAATATTTTATGTATATAATGGTTAATGTTTAAAATTATAAAATACAACATTGAATAAACTTTCAAGAATTATCTAAAAAATACAAAAATTACAATAAATATACTGTAATAATATATTGTATCAATAATTATAGTATTGTATAGCTTTGGGCCAATTTATTACTTTAAAATTTGTATTTAAGTATAGTATTTGACTCAAAAACTACTGAATTAATTAAAATAATATATACTATATTACTATATAATTGAAATAAATTGCCGCAAAGTGTTATCTTTAAAACATCAATGCAATTAAGATTTGATCCTTAAAATTGAACAAAAAATTATTTTAATAATCAACATTTGAAAATGTAAATAAAATACTTTAATAATTAAATGGTTTTGTTAGAGAAATCAAAATTAATTATAATTTTTTTTTGTGAAAATTACAATTTCCTCTATTTGTTTGTTTGCCTAATCGGCAAACTTTTACAACACTTGGCCACAAACTGCGGCACAATTTAAACCATTGATAGCGCTATTTCGTCATTTAATCATATATTTTTGGTACAGAGCATTGAATCATGTTTTTAATTTTTGAAGTTAAATATCTAATTACTTAAATAAATAAATATCATATATTTTATGCATAGATCTCGATCTAAAAACTAGTCATTTTGTATTGAGATTCATAAGCGAGTAGTATTGCCAACATTAAGTAGCTATCGTTAAGTTTGTCTCTTTATTTATTATCCCAATCTTCTGGTGAGTTCCGCAACAATAGAGGACGAAATAGTGCTATCAATGGTATTAATTGTACGGTAGTTTGTGGTCAAATGTTGTTAAAGTTTGCCGGTTAGGTAACAAACAAATAGAGAAAATTGAAATTTTCACTAAAAAATTCTATAAAAATACTTTAATGTTTAATAATTATTTTTATGCCACAACTAAACATCATAATTTTATAATAACATTTACGTTAAAACATTTTTATTATAAAATAAATATTTCAAATATATATAAGATTATATATATATATTAGATTTGAGATTCTATATGTACTGTAAAAACATAGCAATTTTTGATAATTAAATAAAATTAATACACTGTATTACTTTATAATATTAAAATCTCTGTACTGTATGTTTTTAGAATCTTTGTATTTAATATTTTTATTATTTAAATTATTAGTACAAATAATTTCTAAGTTTAATTAATAAATGCTATTTATGTTATTTGTAGAGTTTATGTTAAATTTTATATTCCAGTGTCTGAAAATAATTTAAATCGTATAAAAAACTATAAAAATATACTAAAAAGCTAAATAAAAAACAGATGATTATAATAAAGTAATTTATATTTTATGATTTATAGTTAATTCATGCGCTTTTATAATAAGAAAAAAATGTTTACATTAAATTACTTTTACTCACATATCATTTTTATAAAACAGTATATTAATTATAAAATAATTGTTAATATAATAAGAATACAGTATTTATTATTAAATAATTTTTACAATATCTTAATGTTTTTACTATTAGTCATTATTCTCATAGTTTATAATATAAACTTTATATAAATTATTTTCATATATTTTAACAAATTACAGTTTAACTTCTAAATTATTAATATTAATATTGTTGTTTAAATTTAAATAATATCCAATCAAATAATATTGTAAGATTATACTCTAATTCAAAAATTTAATAATTAGAAATAACTTTTAAAAATAATATGTTATTTTCAATAAAATCAATAGTGGTATTTGTGACCAAAACATTTATTTAAAGTAAATCTATAATATTTTCAATGCTTTTAATAAAGTTGTGTAAAATTTTGACAATTTTGAAGAATATTAGAATTGAGTTTTACATTTGAAAAGCTGTCAAATCAGCTCTCTCTCTCTCTCTCTCTCTCTCTCTCTTCTCCTCTACTTTCGACTAAAACTTTTATAAATAATAAGATTTTGATCGATCGTTGACTTGAAATATAGTATATGACTAATGATTTTCAACTAATGGTTAAGTTTCAGATTAGAAAATGAATTATCGGCAGATATAATATTTTGAAATTATATAATGATTACCGTATTATAAATTCAATATTTAATAATTAAAAAACTGAAAAAACAAATAAATTTAATAAAACCTAAAATGTGTAAATTAAATATTATTTCAAGTGTGAAACAATTTTGAAATACTTTTTTGGGCACGTATTGAGATGTATTTGAAAAGTAGAGTTATGTCATCATATCATCCCTATCCTCTATCCGTCTATTATTTAATATACAGAGCGTATACATTATGTCTGTATAGCATATCTAATAGAAGTGCATTGAATTTTATAGCCTACGAGTGACTCATCCATTGCAATGACAATAGGATTTAAAAAAGATGGCAAAAGACTGACGAGAAACCAATAAAATATATTGTTTTCTCAATATATTTATTGAGATATTTATGTGTCTTATGATTACTATTTCAATAGCGACTATACTGTATAGTCTATACATTAATGTGAGCTCAGATGCCTAAGAAATGTATTTCATAGATGAACCAAATCTTAGAGTTAGATAAATCCCAACAATCGGCACACTATATGCCACTATATTGTTCCCAAAATGTCATTTTATTTATATCCTTTATATGCCTTTTTGTTAAGCTATAAGTGCCTGTATTTTTCAATACAATTCAACATAAAATACATATCACTATTAAGCCAAACATGAGTGGAAGTTATATCGGAGTCGATGTGCCCGCGGCTCACATTAAAGGTATAGTAGTTAATGGAAAGGTAGGCAACCAATTGCATTATACAAATGCATTACTATTATACAAAATGAGGTATAAGGTATGTAAGCGGTCGTGTTTCAAACCTCCCATTCCATAAACCGGTGCTCATCTTTTCATACATGTATAGACTGAATCAACTAAGTTATAGCTATTAGGTTTGACAGCTTTAGATACAACTATTGAATCATTGGTACCAATCTTAAGAAGAGTTTCAATTACGGGTCAATTCAAACAATTGCTCAAAAATTTAGCTTTTAATGCCTTTTAGGGGCGGATTAATTAACGTAATAACACTTTTATGTAGTTATATTAGACTAAACCTTATTATTGTATTAAATACCTAACATTAATACTAAATTTATAAACAACTAACAAATTCATCACTTAAATAGCACTTTTAAAAACATTTGATATGAATCTATTGGTTAGTTTAATAATAAGTTAAGTAAACTCATTTCAAAACAATAAATTATCTTTTTTCTCTATAACACCGATTAATTGCATTTAACAAAACATATACAGTGTATACGCTTTATTGTAAATAATTATAATTAGTAATTAAAGACTTGGTAAAATTATAGCAATTATTATTTTAATTTGTAATTATGTTAATAATAAATAGTTTTCAAAAATATTCACTAAAAAAGTGATAAATGTCAATAAAATATTTACTCAAGACATCTTTTAAATATTTATAATAACTAAAAAAATAGGAAACATGAGTTATACATAATTTATAAATACAGTATTAATAAACTAAATAAAGTCATATGATATTAATTGGCTTTATATTTGAGCTCTAATTAATTATTAAGTAATATCTGAAGTAAATATTACAAAAATAAAATCTTTTTTCACGTGTTCTCATATTTGGAGAACTTATCGATGTATTTATAAATAAATAAAATATATTAAAGTATTATATATAAGATATCTATTATATATCGTATAGTAAGATACTTATATACAGTACAGGTATATTCATTGAATTATATCAGTTAGTATTACAAGTTTAATAAATAATTTCAAAACATTTTTCCTGAGAAGTTTTGTTATTTGATAAAAATAAATGCTTATAAAAATCCATTTTACGACTTATTTGCAATAACTAACAATAATTTTTTAATTATAAATTTCATAAAACTTTAAACATTTTTTTATAACTTATGTTGTATTATATTATACATTAAATAAAAAATAACGTTATAAGTAATAATAATAATAATATATATATATAATTAATTAATCAAATTAGAAAATAAATAACTAGACTATATGTAAAATAAGCAACCAATTAAAAATTCAAATTTGTCTTAGTTTTTCTATCTATAAAAAATTTAATATTCTATTTATTAATTATACAAGGTTAAATAAATATGCTTAATTTTAATGTTTTAATAATAATTAAATAAATTATATGTTAAGTAAATTACAGTATTATTTTGTAAAATTTTTTAATTAAATACTATAAATTTGTTATATACTTTACAGTTAGTTTTAGGAAGTGATAAATATTACAATACTATTACAAAATATATACTAACAATATTTTGATAATACTGTACATATCATATCATATAATCATATAATTTTAAATAAATAAATTAGTAGTAAATTAAAATCTAAACAATTGCGACAACACTTACCTAAACTTTATTGATTTTTCGTCACGTTTTATATATAACACAGTTATTAACAATTCAGTTAGTTTTGAGAATAAAATGGGTATAATATGCTATCATATAGTTTATGGCAATAATAAACTGTCAATATTTTTGATGTCAAATCATTGACAAACACTTGCAATAGTTTTTTTAGTTTTAGTAGTAATCATACAAATAATTTGTTGAAACAAATAACTACATCAAAGCAAACACCAAATTAAATGTCTTTTTTACAGAATTAGTCCCAAAAAGAAGTGCCAAAAAGTTAATCAATTTTAAGAGTCTTTGTCTTTTCATTACAACACATCAATAATTGTCGACTAATCCATTGAATCCATTGAATCCATTGACAATCTCTTGAGTTTTCAACAAAAATGAGTCAATTGTATAGTTAGGCAAATGTTGAGACAAAATGTGAGACTCTTTGAGAGCAATGGAAACAAACAGACAGAGAGTCGGCTTTGCTTTACATTCCTCTATAGCACTGACTTCAGTGAGTTTGCAGCGATGGTTGAGTTCATTGATAGATAACAAACAGGGGTTGTCTTCAGCTATCATACAACAGTACAACAGTGTTACCAGTTTTACAAATTTCAAAGAAGGACACAATTCATCAAATTTATTAAACTAACATTTCATTTGTTTTATCTATGATTTATTTTAGTTATATTTTAATAAAACAAATTAATTCAATTATTTGCATAATTCTAATATTACTTTCGGTTTTTAGATTAAAATTTTAGTAATATTTAATATACCTGTATATTAATAGTCATTATTTATGTTATATGTAAATATTTTATTAATTTTGGTAATTTATGTTTTATTAATAAAAAATTTTATACTAAAATGATAAGTTAAATTAATTATTATTAAATTAGATTTTTAAAAAATAAAATAGTTTAGCAATGCTTAAAATTAATTTTTGTTGTTTTGTTAATAAAAATTTAATCATTTGATTAAACTTACCAATAAAATCATATTATTATAAATTTATTTATTTGTTGAGTTGGAAACACTAAAAACATGTAAAAGTTTCCGACTTTTATTACATACATAATCTTTGAATGTATTACTACTGTATTGACTGATTGTATACAATTGGAAAATACAGGTCCATCTCTATAATTTCATTTTTAAATTAACTTATTTACAAATATCATAGTACTGTAGTATTTAATTTAATAATTGCTTTTTATATATCCTATAGTTGTAATTTATAATTACTACTGCACTTATTCATATTAATTATTATTATTATGTATTTTTATAATACACGAACTAACCTAGCTAATATAAAATAATATATTAAATTTTCATATACATTATTAGGTGTCAAAGATATTATTAGAATTAACATTTATGTTTTACAGATATGTTGTATCACTTGTATGTAATTAATAGAAAAATGATAAGAGATGAATGTTATTAATATTGAAGCATGGTCAGTTTTGAATTGGTAAGTGTATACTGTACAGTATATATATAATATACAGTATAATATATATATATAGTATATATAGTATGAAGTGATGGTAGCGAAACAACTTTGAGGTAAACCAGAGAGTCGACAGTCAATGACAACTGTAAAACCATAGACAGTAGTGTAGGGTCTATGGGGTCAACACATCAAAGCATTTACTTATACAAAATGGAGTTATTTTACAACATATATATACCGTATATATATATATATATATATATATATATATATATATATATTAATATAACATAAGATATGATAACAATTAATAATGTTTTGCTTCTAAGATAAGCTGTTTTGCTGTTATTAATGATAATAATAGTTATATTACGTAATGTCTACTCACATACTTCTCTATCACAAACTTACTGACAAATAATTTATTTTGTGCACTGATTTTGACACAACTTTTATGAGAATCTGTATTATTAATAAAAGTAATTATTATGTCTTTAGTATTGGTTTGAGACAAATAAAAACTCAACGTTACTATTACTACAGTATATAACTGTCAAAGTTTGCCAAAATATAATATACACTAAACTAATGGCAATACTACTACTTATATCTGTGTAACTTAAATATCATTTTATTTCAATATACAATACATTGTAGTATTTTTATTATTGTGATGTACTTATTGTACAATACTTTTTATAGTATATTCAATATTTTGCGCAAATCTATGATTAGTAGATAACAAGGGATCAAAGTATACTTATAAGGTATAGATAATCATTTTATTAATAACAAAGTGTTAATCTGTTATTAAATCAGATTACTAAAGATTTTCAACATTATTATGTCATTATATATAAGTTATCATTAATACAAGTGGTTATAATTCAATACCATTTAAAGCAATATTTGTTGATCTGCTTATACAGTATATTAATGTAGTGACAGTAAAGTAGCATTTAAAGGGGCAAATCATATCATTGATCATAAAAATATGACATTTTTCTGCTGTTTTGAAATCAAATTCAAAAATATGTTCAAATAAATTACAATTTGTTAGTTACAAATAACACAAATAAATACTATACAATGTATACATGTATAAATAACTGTATAATAATAATGTATCAAATTATAAATAATATGATTATTAGACATATGTATATATAATAGTATACATAATAAATATGCATAATTTTATTAATTTATTTACTACAACTTTTGATTTAAAAATTATTTAATGACATTATTATTTATAAACAGATTTAATAATTTATTATTATTTTGTGATAACATTATATATATATTATTGTTTTAAAATATACAAAACAGAAAAATTGTAGTTTAAATTATTTGTAATTAAAAAAAAATCTGTGCATTAATTTAATGATTATAAACATTTACTAATATTGTTACCAATAGTTATTTCTTTAAATTTATATAATTGTTTGGTGTAATTATATGTTATTATAAATATTATAAAAAAATATTAAAATTATATAAAAAAGTTAAATTGTTTATTTTATATAGAGTTCGATCAACATTATCAGTGAGGGAAGATCCCTAAAAAATCATTCCAATTTTACCGGAAAATATTTTATTTTTCCTCCCTTAATCGTTAGAAAGGGAAAATATATTTTATTTTATTACGATAAATAGTAATAAAACTTAAATATTTTGCAAAAAATATTGAAATATTCAAAAATAAATATAAATTCAATAAATTTAGTGAGACTATTATCAATACAACTTAAAATAAAGTTTAATATAATATTTGTTTATCTAACATTATAATAAAATGTATTGTTTAGTTTAATAGGAGGTTACACAAGGAAATAGATTCCCTAAGAATTTCCAGGGAATAGTGAACACAAGGAACTTTTGGTATATAAAACGAGGTAAGGAATCTGATATAACCCTAATTTTATATAAATGAGATAAAATAAATTTGATTTTGATATACAGTAAAACAGACAAACAAATGTCAAGTTAAACGTTTAAAATATTATAATTATTTGAATGTTTTTGTTGGTCATAATAAGTAATAAATATAATACGACAACAAATAATTATAACTTATAATTAGATGATTTGTCATTAATTTGATTTAATAAATAGTTATTATTGAGTTAAATAATTGGCAACATTTAGTTTGTTGAATCAATTGTTATATAATCTGTACTTAAATTTGGTCTTTGGATAAGTCTTGAGATGAGATGAAAGTAAAAAAATAATTTAAAGTTAATGTCCGCCCTTTGATTTAGTCGTTTGCCACCCACTCGTGATTAATGATAATCTCAATCATATTTTCTTAACTTTTCTTATCGTAATTTTCAATGAATAGCGTTTGTAATTCAATGCCACATATCATGACTGCAATACTATCGGCTATTTCTAAAGTTTGCTTTCATTTTTTATAACATACGATATGATTGCTTTCATTGAGACAAAAAATAAAGCAAAAAATAATAATAAACAATAAAATTGTTATAATATATTAATATTAAATTTTTTTTCTCTAAATAACTACATTTAAATTGTGTTAATATTGATTAAATTAAAGTATTAAAAAATGTTAATATAAATTATCATTTCATAGATATTGAATATTAAATAATGATTAATTTTTATTTCTATTGATTATTTACTAGCTTTTATTAATAACTAAACAAATGTACATTAAGAATAATGTTATATCATTAATATATTATTTTATAAAATTAATTATATCATTAATAAAATGTTATTGAAAAATATAATATTATTTTTTTAATTAAAGTCTATAAATAAGGATTATTATTATTATTTAAATAAAAAGTAAAAATATATTTTTAAAATTAAAACCAAATATAGAAACATAAAATGCTATATTATTGCAATAGTTTTTTAAGATGTGATTTACAATAAATTGTTAATAATATTAAAAGTTATTATTTATATATTAGATTAGATAGATAGATAGATAGATAGATAGATAGATAGATAGATAGATAGATAGATAGATAGATAGATAGATAGATAGATAGATAGATAGATAGATAGATAGATAGATAGATAGATAGATAGATAGATAGATAGATAGATAGATAGATAGATAGATAGATAGATAGATAGATAGATAGATAGATAGATAGATAGATAGATAGATAGATAGATAGATAGATAGATAGATAGATAGATAGATAGATAGATAGATAGATAGATAGATAGATAGATAGATAGATAGATAGATAGATAGATAGATAGATAGATAGATAGATAGATAGATAGATAGATAGATAGATAGATAGATAGATAGATAGATAGATAGATAGATAGATAGATAGATAGATAGATAGATAGATAGATAGATAGATAGATAGATAGATAGATAGATAGATAGATAGATAGATAGATAGATAGATAGATAGATAGATAGATAGATAGATAGATAGATAGATAGATAGATAGATAGATAGATAGATAGATAGATAGATAGATAGATAGATAGATAGATAGATAGATAGATAGATAGATAGATAGATAGATAGATAGATAGATAGATAGATAGATAGATAGATAGATAGATAGATAGATAGATAGATAGATAGATAGATAGATAGATAGAGATAGATAGATAGATAGATAGATAGATAGATAGATAGATAGATAGATAGATAGATAGATAGATAGATAGATAGATAGATAGATAGATAGATAGATAGATAGATAGATAGATAGATAGATAGATAGATAGATAGATAGATAGATAGATAGATAGATAGATAGATAGATAGATAGATAGATAGATAGATAGATAGATAGATAGATAGATAGATAGATAGATAGATAGATAGATAGATAGATAGATAGATAGATAGATAGATAGATAGATAGATAGATAGA